TCTCAGCAATGACATGATCAGCCCTCAGGTGAATCTACTTAAGACTATCTTGTTGTGAAATGGGTATTATCAATGTTCCGGATCAAGGTTGTGTCAAGGATCAGGAGACAGTCTACATTCCTGGCAGGAAGGTAGAGGCAGTAGGTGGCGGCTACGTGACTGTCATCTCACCAGTAATGCTCATCATCATGCTCGGCCAGGGCTGTAGGAGCACAAGCGTTTCAAGGAATAGAGGCTGGTCACCCTCCTCCTTTCTTTGTCCCTCAGCTGGCCGGGCCAAGCTTCCAAATCCAGTGCTGCCTGCAGCCTCTTTACCCCAGCCCCCAGTCACTCCCCTGCTGGCTGTACAAATGTCTGGAACGACATCCCTCTCCTCCTAGGCCCGGCCCCTCTCCCCAGTTTTTCAGACAACAGCACCCAGAACCTGCCACAGACTTCCGCCTTCCCTAACACAATTATCCCCTTACTACTTTAAATCCTCTCTAGGTTACTTAAACTACATAATATAAATAATATATAAATAGTTGTTATGCTGTACTTTTTATTTGTATTATATTTTATTGTTGTATTGCCATTTTTATTGTTTTTTTTCCTGAATATTTTTGATCCTCATTTAGTTGAATGCACAGGTATGGAATCCATGGATACAGAGGGCACACTCGACTCCTTCCTATGCACAGAACCCTCCAAAGTAGGAATAACACTCCCATTTTACTTTTTTTTATTTTACAATTTTAACATAGAGACAGGGTCTCACTGTGTTGCCCAGGCTAGAGTGCAGTGGTGTCATCATAGCTCACTGCAGCCTTGAACTCCTGGGCTCAAGCGATCCTCCAGCCTCAGCCTGCCAAGCACTGAATATTAATAGCTAGGACTCCAGGTGCACACCCGCGTGCCTGGCTAAAGCATTTTAAAGAAGCAGAAACTGAGTCTTGTGTTGCTTGATGCCACCACAAAGCTGGATTTTGATGCCTAACATGGAGGCTCTTCCCAGTAGACCGAGTTGCTGTGAGTTCCTTCAGTTACAGACCCCCCCCCCCCAGAGCCTCATCTCATTCCGGCTAAATATTTTGGTTGCAGCTCAAACCTCTGAGTGGACGACTTATTCCTGGCTCACAGAGCTGCCTTTGCTTTCAGAGATTCAGATGGGGTATCTCAGCTCTGGAACATTGTGTTGAGAAGCATCTTTCCAAAGGTGTCTTCCCGGCGCCATTCTTTCTTTTGGGGCCCAGCAATGACATGATCAGCCCTCCAGGTGAATCTACTTTAAGACTATCTTGTTTGTGAAATGGGTATTATCAATGTTCCTGGATCAAAGGTTGTGTCAAGGATCAAAGGAGACAGTCTACATTCCTGGCAGGAAGGTAGAGGCAGTAGGTGGCGGCTGCTGTGACTGTCATCTCACCAGTAATGCCTCATCATCATGCTCGGCCAGGGCTGTAGGAGCACAAGCTGTTTCAAGGAATAGAGGCTGGTCACCCTCCTCCTTTCCTTTGTCCCCTCAGCTAGGCAGGGGCTCAAGCTTCCAAATCCCAGTGCTGCACTGCAGCCTCTTTAGCCAGCCCCCAGTCACTCTCCCCCTGCTGGCTGTACCCAATGTCTGGGAACGACATCACCCTCCTCCTATGCCCGGCCCCTCTCCCCAGTTTTTCAGACCAACAGCACCCATAACCTGTCCACAGACTTCTCCCCTTCCTACCCCCTCCAGGGCCCCCAGCAGAATCCACCTGGCTATCACCTCCCCCTCTTCCATCCTCTCCCAGAAGGTCAGGTGACCAGCCTTCTATACTTAGACACATCCCTGCCAGGGGAACGAGAGGGCCTTAGAGGGTGAGTCTCCTTCAAACACCACCTAGCCTAGACATCTCTCTAAATTAGCTGCAGGTAATGCAAGGACGGTCTTGCTAAAATAACAGGAAAATATGTAATCTTGCAATTTTCTAATAACTCAACCTCTCCTACCTAGGCTTCATTTTGTTTCAATTTCTAAATTAAAATGGCCATTTATTTATTTATTTAGGTCACCATGGAGTGGATTCATCTCTATTCTCCACCTAACAGGCAGGAAAGACAATGTATGTGCAATTCAGTCTGCCAATAAACACTGACACTGGAGTAATGATAATACAATGTATCTGCAAGATGGGGAAGCCAGTTCAAGGAGAATATTTTTCATCACCAGTTTTCTCTCTACATTTCCAACCCCTTCCTTGGCTCTCCCGGCCTCTGCCTCTTTTTAGTTTGAGCACTCAGCTCTCATCTTGTAGCCCCAGGACAATACCAGGGAGCTCTTTAGAAATGCAGAATCTCCACCCGCCCCACTGAAGCTGCACCTCAGCCATCCCCAAGCCGCCAGGTGATACTTGCTGAGAAGCTACCAAGAAGGCAAAGTTTTCCAAAAGTCTCTGTACACAAGTTCTCCTGGAATGCTGGTTTAAAATAGGAATCCCTGGAGGGTCTGATTTAATAAGTTTGGGGCGGAACCCAGGAATCTGAGCTTTTAAAACAATTTCCCCATTATTACGATAAAGTAAATTTGTAATGAAGGTCGCTGATAAGTATCTGAAAACAATCCATTTTGACCACAGAGTAGGGCTTTGGGGCAGCCTTAGTTTGAAGGTCTGACGGTTCTTTTGTTGAATGGAATTTGTGGCATCTGGGAGTGGAGCAGAGACCACCTCCTAAACTCCTGTTCTAAAATATATATATATATTTTAATTCCAACAATTCAGGGGGAAATAAGGTAAAAAGCGTGAGTTCTCTTGTTGCTGATAGCTGGTACCTGAGATCAAGGCAAGACAGCCAAAACTAGTAAAGTAGGGATTATGTGGCCAAATTCCAGGATTAAAGGGGATGAGCCCGAGCTGGAAGCGGATGCAGGTTGGTGACCAGGTGGGCCACCACCTGTGCAGAGCCTGATCCCCCGCGCACGTCGGTGGGCTCTGGCCATCGCAGCGCTGCATCCTAGGGGGCAGAGGAGCTGAACCTTTTTTATTTTCCCAAACTGCCAAAGCCACCGGGTCTGCCAAGCTCCTCACCAGCCAGCTCCCGGGCAGCCCCCCCCATTCCCTGCACAAGGGCGCAATTGACCAGCGCGAGCCGCCTGCGGCCCACCCAGAGGACGGCCAACTTTTTTTTTTTTAAGCCATCAAATTCAATATTTACAAGAACAATCCCATGCTTGGTTCTAAAACTCCCGGCCACACAAGGAACAGTTTACTTCTGACTTCAGCCCATAACAAGAAAAACGTAGGCTTGTGCCTTACTCTTAAAAAAACCGGAATAATAAATATATTAATAGCTTAAAAAGAAAAAGAAAAAAAACCACAGCTCATTGCAGGTGGCCCCCTCGCTCCCGTTGTCGAGCGGAATAAAAGCCCATTTTGCCGGGCCGGCGGCCCTGCAGCTGCGGGCCTGTAACTTTAAACCTGGCCTGAGCTCAGCGCGCGGTGCGGGCCAAACAGAGCCGGAGGGCGGGCCCAGCGCGCGGGGCAGGGACCACCTCACCGCGGCCCGCTCCCCGCCCTCGCCCGCAGGGATATATGCTGACTCGGCGCCGCAGGTCCCCGCCGCGAAGTCGCCCTGCAGCTGCCCCGCGCCCCGCTCCGCCGCGTCCCCCGGCCCCGCTCCGCCGCGTCCCCCCGGCCGGCCTGTGGCCGCCGAGCCGCCGCATCTGCCCCCGGCTCAGAATCCTGCCGCCCGGCGCCCCCGGGAGAGCAAGTCGGCCGCCAGGATGTGGAAGGTGCCAGTTCTGCTCCTCGTTTTGGGAAGCGCATCGCTCTGGGTCCCGGCAGCAGGAGGTAAGACCCGGGCAAGTGGCCTCCTGCAGTGGCGGGTGGGGACGAGCGAGCAGGCACTTGTGGAATGCCCGGGCCTGGCATTCGAGGTTGTGCCGGAGAGCGCGGGGCAGCTGGGGCTGTGCGCGCGCGAGTGGCTCAGCGCCGGGAGGGGGCGGAGAGGCGGCGGGTTAGCGGGTGCCGGGAGGAGCCCCGGGGTCCGCTCACGGGAGATCGAATGCCCACGCCTCGGGAGAAACTGTCCCGGTGGGATCTGGAGGGACATTCAGGGCGGCAGGACCCGGGAGGAGGGTTCCCCCTGCTCCAGCGGCCCTGGCTCTCGTGGGACTCTGCCCGGTCTCACGCGCTGTGCGCCAGCATGTTGGACACGCTTGGGACCCCATCGCTGGCTGGAAGAGGCCTCCCTTACCCTCTTTAGAGAGGACAGTGGGCGCGTGGAAAGAGTCCAAGTGGGGCCTTCTGAGAAGTGTAAGGAGTGTTCTGGACTTTGAGGTTTAAGTGGGTTTGGGGCCATGCGTTGAACTTGGGTAACAATGTCAAGTGACTGAATTAGTGTTGGTGACTCCTTGGACTTTAAATGTTCTTGATCTGATGATGGAGGGGGAGACACCGCCTGCCCCATGTACACATCTTCCCTTCCTCTTTGTCCTTTTATTTCCCTTTCTCCTGCCTTGCTTCTTTCTGCCCAGTTGCTATGTTGGTGGCTTCCATGAACATCTCTCAACATTTTGTTTCTTTTCTTGGGTCTTTATTTTTCTGTTTCCCCAATAGAATATAAACTCCATATGGTTGAGCATGTGGATTGGGGGGAAAAAGTAGAATACAAGCTCCAGAAGACACAGCTACATCTAGCCTTGATCCCTAGGGCCAAAGCTATGTCTGGCACATAGTAGTTGCTCACTAAATGTTAGATGAAGGAATTATAAACTAACTAGTGATCTTTGGGGCTGGAGGTTGCAGAGCTGTGCTCTGAAAGGTAAACTCTCAAATTTTCCAAATTGAGGATCAAGGTAGGCCTAGGCCCAGGGGAATCCTTCTTGGAGAGGGAGTAGTTTACAGGAGGGGTGGGCCTCAGCTGAGCTTCTGCAATTCCATGCAGACAGAAATACCCAGCCTTAGGGAAATTATATGGCGTGTACTGCTCTGGGCTGGGCTGTCTGTTCTGAAGAGACTGAGCAACTAACTTTCTTTACAGGGGCCATGGGCTATTCGTGGCAGTCCTATCTTTGGAACTTCTCTTTCCACCGGAATATATGGAGTTCTGTATTTCAGTTACATTTCCTTTTTGGCGAGACAGTGTGCACATCACACCACGCTGTGCTCACCAGTGCAAAGGGGGGGAGGTCCCTGACCTGAGCCTCATCCCAGCCCTGCCGGGACAGCAGCTGGGCAACGTCCTCGTTTTTCACCCAGGGAAGCCTTAGCTGTAATTATCTTAAGCCAGGTCCTGAATGTCACAGGTACTCCTAAAAGGTGATGTTAAACTTTGTCTGAAAATACCCGCTTTGGCTAAAGAAAGAAGCCCCGCCTGGGCTTTGTGGGGGGCTGGCTGAGTGTGGACGGAGAGCCCAGCCCAGCCCGGCTGCTGGCAAGGAGCAGAGGCCCAGCGGGGCCTTTGTCTGAGATGAACGCGTGAGAGGACTTGAATATGGATGAATAACTTCACTGAGCTGAGCTTTTGTTGGCTGTGGTTGGGGAGCTGGGCTGAGGGGTAATTATGGTGATGAATGTTATTATCCTCCTCTTAGGATCCTATGCCCTACTGGGCTTCCCTCCTTTGGGGGTTATAATCCGGTTCAGTTTTATAATCTGGTCCCATGTGTCATTTCCTTGGATGTTAGTGGATTCAAAGGAGGTCTGTTGTCCACACATCTGGCATTTTCCTCAACTGTCAGGCCGCACCCTCACTCTGAACTTTCATCTGAAATGAGGCCTCTCCTGCAGACAGTTTATTTTGTGAAATTCTGCAAGCTGCTGCTTGCTACTAACTCACATGTGCGTTTCCGGGACCAATCCACCCAGGATTAATCATGCGGCAAACAAATTTCCCTGTGATTTCCCCGAAACTCTTGCCAGTTTTGGAGGCCTTGAAATCTTCATGAATTGCTAGGAGTTGTTGTTGCATTTGAGGCATTTAATGAAATGGGGTCTGTTAGAGGCCTCGTGAGGGAGGCAACTCTGGCCATTACACTGGTGTGTAACTTCCAAAATCCATTCGGTATAGGAAAGCACATTTTAAAAAATGTGCCCCGGCATGAGAAGGCTAAGTCTAGGTATGGCCAACAGGACTAAGCAACTCCCCTCTCTGGTTCCTGTAAAATGAGCAGCAACTCTATACCATAGAATTATAAAGACCCCAAACCTTGGCGTGACAGTGTATAGTCCAGCAAAGAAGGAAGAACACTACCCCCTCCCGTTTCCATCCGCAACCATGTGCTGGGATGGTTGTCCCAGCTGGCCGCAATGTCCCCAGCTATCTCTTTTAATTGTCACAACTCTTATAAATTATACGCTATTATCTCAGAAGATGCCAGAACTGGGATTCAAAAATGGATCTAACATCAAGTCTCAAACTCTTTTTACTACACTCCTCTGCTATATTAAAAAACAAACAAACAAAAAAAAAAACCCAGAGGTTGAACTTGAAATTGAAGGTTTAATCTTACTTTAAGCCCCTTGAAGGTGAAATCAAAAGTTTTCTAAAGATACAAAAGTTCCTTTAAATACTCCCCGTAATGTTTCCATAAGAATGAAACTGTCACAATACATTAAAATAGGATTCATTGGCTGGATGGCTCTTGCCTGTAAGCCCAGCACATTGGGAGGCGGAGGCGGGAGGATCGCTTGAGGCCAGGAGTTTGAGACCAGCCTGAGCAAGATGGCAAGACCTTGTCTCTTAAATAAATAAATAAGTAAAAGTTAGCTGGGCGTGGTGGTGCACACCTGTAGTCCCAGCTGGGGAGACTGAGGCAGGAGGATCGCTTGAGCCCAGGAGTTTGAGGTTGCAGTGAGCTATGATGATGCCACTGCACTCTATCCCAGGAAACAGAGTGAGACCCTGTCTCTAAAGGATTCATTAACTCATTCTACAAATAGTTATTAGGCATCTCCTGAGTGCTCGGCATGTTGCTGGATGTAGGGTTTGAACTGCATGCACTTTTGAGAGAGGCATGCCGCACATTATAAAGCATCCTCTGTGGGCCTCGCCAGCAAAGCAGTGAACCTGCACTTCAGATTCCACTGGCTTATCGGAATATTTGTCATAGTTCTGGCTTCTGAGAGCAGGCATGCCAGGTTACAACTTGTGGAAATGTGGGGGAGGACAAGGAGGGAGAGAGAACTCAAATACGCGGCGTTATTACCCTTGTGAAACTCATTTGAAGAATCTGATGAGATCCTGTAGGGCGGTCCAAGGAAGCCGTGCCATTCCTGCCACCCTGAACCTCCCAGGGAAATATCCAGTGCGCGTGTTCTCTGGTTGGGAGACAGTCAAATAACTGAGGGTGCTGGGGGAGCTTCTAAAGGCAAGTCAGCCGGTACCACGACTCGTCTCGGGATTCGCATGTGGCGGGCAAGCGATCAAGCCCCTTTCCATTGGGGTTTTGAATCCTTTCTCTATTGGTTTCTTACAAATTTGGGGGGAAGGAAAGTGATCAGGCGTTTTATCCGAGGGATCAGAGAGAAAGCCAGGTTAGAGAACAACTGGAATTCTGCCAGATCCATCCAAGGCAGGAAAACAAGGTGGCTATTTCCTTCCCACGTGTCTAAACCAGCCTGTTGGCGGGCGGCCAGGTGAGGGCAAGTTCCCTGCAGCATCGGAGGTGGATGGGCTCACGCTCCTTCCTGTCTGGCCCAGTGTCTTTGCTTTGCGGATTGCTCAGAGTGGATGGATTTATCCTTTGAATGAATCAAGCCACGTCCAGGGCTAGACCTGCGAACTTGGCTGAATCTTTCATGTTGTTTTTTGAGAAGCTGCAAACATTGTTAGGGCAATGCTAAATTTACTGCAGAAAACAAAACAAAACAAAAAAAAACTACGAAAGGGAGAATCACTTTTCCAGAGGAAGATGTGCTCTTGACCTCTGCCCAGAGGGACAGAGCTGTAAAGTGCCCCAAGCTACAGAGAGTGACCAACACTGAGCCACCAGGTAATAATTGCCTGTTGTTAACATTTGTAGCGTGCAAGGACGAGCCAGTTACGGAGCGTGTAAATGGGAGGCAGGGAAGGGTCATGATGGAAGATTTGTAAACATGTTATTGAGGAGAACAGGGTGTTTCCCAGGATTCATCAGAGTGTCTCCATCCAGGAGAATAAAACACAACGCATGTAAGAGAAGCCGTGATCCAGCGAATGGTGTTCTTCCCAAAGGAGGGGGGAGTCCGTTTGCCTGGAATCTAGAAAGGGAGAGGAAAGGCACAAGGATGTGTTGATGTTAAACCTGCCCTGCCCGCGGAGTTCATGGATTCAACAAGTATCTATGGAGTAGCTGCTGTGTGAGCCAGGCGGTGTGGAATGAGGCGAAAGTTATCCCCTCTTATAGCTGGTAGGAAAGATATCGGATCTGGTGGCCGCGAGTATTCTGATCTTAGTGCATGCAGGTGGCTCTGTGATGAATCAGAGATCTCTGTTCTGTCATAGTCTGGAAATGTATTCCACCCAACAGACCCACCTTTTGCTTTTGTCCTAAATAGACCTACCAACATCTTGGGTATTTAGCTCCTGAGAAGAGCTTGTCTTGGATAGCAAATATATGCACAGGTACTGATAAACTATTTTCTGTCCTAAACTGTTTGATTTCCTGTCCTCTTGTGAGCTTGGCTAATGTGAAACAGTTTCATCTGAGCCAAATTGCTCCATGCGATTAAATATTAATCTGCAAAGGCTAAAGGATCTAGATTCTGAATTTGTGGTGTTAATAGCAGTAACAAGGCCGGGCATGGTGGCTCACACCTGTAATCTCAGCACTTTGGGAGGTTGAGGTGGGAGGATCGCTTGAGGCTAG